AGCATCTCTTTGACTTGTGTCACTTGCACTTAGTTTTGCTAAGTATGAAAGAGACTATCCACTCCTCCCACCATTGTCCTGGAGCCTCAGGAGCCTCTAGGTAGAAGAGCAAACTGAGCTGTGGTGGTGACATTCCAGTACTCTGGAGGCAGAGTAGGCAGATCTCTGTGATCTCAAGGCCAGTCTGGTCTACAGAGGTGTTCCAGGACAAAGAGGACTGTTATACAGAGAAACCCTGTCTCAAAAAACAAACAAAAAGAAAGAGAGGAAGGAAGAAAGGAAAAGGAAAGAAGAAAAAAAGAAAAAAGAAAAGAAAAGACAAGCGATTTGCACTATGTGGGGAATGTCAGGCAGCCCTGGGCATCTCAGAGCTCAGGCCCAGGCTTTAGAGATCTGGTTCCTGTGGAACCTGTAGATAGAATAAACTCCCCTTGGGTCTCCTGTCCTCTCTCAGAGGGTATTTGTCCATTACTTGTTTATGTTCAGGACAGTTGAGGGACTCCTCTTTCCTTTGAAAGGACATGGATCCTTATTGGTGTAGGGGTTTTCTGAAGTATTTTGATTTTTTTTAATTAGTTGCTCTCTTATTTGGCCTTTTGATTGTAGCTGTCATGGCTATTTTAGGCTCTTGGCTATGTCTTCCTGAGAACCTGGGGTATTTGTCGTGAAGGTTCCTGGAGGCAGGGGTGGCAGAAGGAGACTGGCAGGGCCTTACTCTGCAGAGGGTCTTTTCCAGTGGTCTGCACAGCCAGGTCCTAATGGAACATACTCAGCTTAAGGACCAGGTAGCCATGCTGAGGCAGGAGAACAAGAATCGGATAGAGGATTGGGTCCTGCTGAAGCACCACTTGGAGGCATTGAAATTGATCTGTGAGGACCAAGAGGAACAGACCAGTGACCCCCAAACCCAGCAACAACAGGTAGGGGCAGGTAGGTGGGTCAGGCTAAGGTCTGGCACCATTTGCCCATTGGATTCTCTGTCTGCCCGTCCACCCCCCTGTGCTTTCAACCATCACCTTACTCATCCATGCTCCCATCCAGCCACCCACCTCATGCTATCTGAGGTGTTCACTTCAGTGTCCATGCACAAGTACTTCTGGGAAGTTAGCCTCTTCTGAGAAACTAAATTATTGGCAAGCCATGCCTGGTATTCTGCTTGAAACTGCGGTCCAATGAGGGAAATGGGTCAATAACATATCACACCTACATGTCATTATGATAGGTAGGATGCTATGCACAGAGCTTTGAATAAGTGAATTGTGGGTCCTGAGGCTCATGTGATTGGCAGGGGTCATGTGAGATCACAGAGGGGAAGCAGCTTACTGTTGGACCCCAAAATTTAGGGTCTCAAGTGGGCACCCCAAGAACCCAGACTCCAGTCCAGTTGATGCAACAGCACGAGGTTTTTATTGAAACTTCTATATAGAAGGGCAAACTCTGCTCCTAAGAGCAAGAGCCGCATCTTACTGCAGCCCCATAAGGGCTTATAAAGGAAAAACCCACAAAACCCACAAGGTTACAATTTCCATACAATTTCATTTCACAAGATCATGGTCTGATCACAGAGTGATCACAGAGGGGGTACAGTTACATAAACCTCAAGGGGGGTATCAGGGCGGGAGTGGAGTTCACACAAAGGTCACAGTGGTCCTTCCTGGAACACCTGCAACTATCCCAGTCCCAGTTGAGCACATCTCTTAACAGAAATCTTTTTACATTGTTACATTGTGGCAGGGGTGGTTGAACAATGGCTGAGTCAGCTTGCTCTTGGAACTAGATTTTTAGTTTCTCATTTCCTGGTGCTTGAAGTTTCTCTTTTCCTGAGGCTTGGGGGTGTAAACCTGAAGGGCTAGGGTCTTTTATTTACAAGGAGGAGTATCCCATGTAAATGTCAAATGAGTCCTAATCATAGTCATAGATTTGGGTGGCATGTGGCCTTCTCCTTTCTTCATGAATCCCAATGTGTTCTCGTCCCTCTGACTATTGGTTCACACTGACATAAGCCCGAGTAGCAGCTCATGAGCCATGTTTTCTGTGAGTGCTCCTTGAGATCTCTACCATTGTGGAGAATACAATCTGCATTTGATTAGTTGAACAGATTGGTGGACAAGCTGAGTGTCGGGGTGGGTGCTTTGCTGCTTCTGAAGTAAATTCTCTAGCCATCTCAACAGAGTCTGACCCAACAGAGCACACTCCTCACAGCAGTATTAATCCTCATGGAATGATGGCAGTTGTGAGACTCTTCTGAAAGTGCTGGTGTGCTTCACCTACTCATCTGTACATCTTGCATGATGTTGTGTTCTGCTCACTTCTTTTTCTATGAGTGTAGTATAAGCTCTTTTGGCTTGCCTCACCTACCAGTAAGCTGTTTTGATCCTTTGTATGTGCTTCATGTGTATGAGACTGTGTGCATGCCTGTATACAACTCTCCACTAAGAACACGATGTTCTAATGAACAGGAATTTGAAAGATTGGAGGGAAGCCTGCAGGTCCTGCGGAAGCAGAAGGAGATGATCACCCAGGAAAAGGACTTGGCAGAAAAGCTGCAGCATCACTTTGAGGTCTCCCAAATGAGGTAGGAACCGAGACTGGGGGGAGCAGGTGGAGCCACGGGGGTACCTTGTTCTTGGGATCACTGTCATTTATGGGCTCCTACTGACATGCATGGCTCCCAGCTACAAGCAGGGCAAGAACACTTCAGAGTATCGTTCAGGTTGAGTTAACAAACAATTCTGTCCAGGAATCAATATATTTAATACTTAGTGTGTCTGAGCAATTGTGTCCTTTCTCCCTTCTGAGTGCTCTGGTATGGCCTGAGCAGGCTTTCCTTATACTCACAGAGATCTGCCTGCTTCTGCCTCCCCATGATGGAATTCAAAGTTGTGCATCACCAGGCCTTGCTGAAATTACATTTTCACTTAGGAACATCTCCTGTAAAGAAGAGATTCCTACCTTTGAATACTGCTCTGTGCAGCATTTTCCCATTTCCTGGGACGAGTGTTCTCTGGATTGAATAGGTTAAGGACTTTCCAGAATGAACCCAGACAACTGCTTCAGCTGCAGGGAAGATCAGAACCTTTTCGGGAGTGTTCTGTAACAGACTGTGAAAGAGTCAGGATGCAGATTCCTAGCTCTGGTCCTAAGGAAACCACAAGTTTCTGTTTAATCACAGAGCCCATGCATGGCCAGTGTTCTCAGGCACACATCTCAGGAAATGCTGCTCTAGGATTACTGACTGATTCTGTCTTGCATGTTGGTCATGTTCAAGGTGCATGGGCATGAGTCCTGAGCTATCTTCATGACCTTGTTTGAGTATCCAGATTGAAAGGCTGCAATATGGCTATCAATAAAATGATGTGGTTGATCAGTAACTCATCATGAATAACAAGTATCACTCCTGTGCTGTTGACTATGTTATTAATACGTTGTTACCTTTACAAAATGATGTCCCCAGACTGTAAGAGAAAGACCCTTTCTTTCTACTAGAACAGAGAACAAACACTACTCAGTCAAATTCTGACAGGTTTTAGGGCTGAGGAAAGTTCTAGGCCCAGCTACTCTGTGACTCTTATTCCTTGGGGATACAAACAATGACTTCAGTCAAAGATCCATGTTGACTATCCAGCACAGTTGAGGCGGTGGGAGGCAGCAGTTTAACAGCTGACAATGGCAGGTCCCCAGCATGATTGGGTCCTAACTGCCTTTCCCTCCTAGGTCAGAGAAAGTGATACATGCACTGGAACAGGCCACAGCCCAGGATGAGAGCCTGCTTCAGAAGGAGCTGTTAAACCAGGAGCCACCTGCTGAGCCCAATCTCCGGGAAATTCTGGATTATGATGCACTTTCCCCCTATTATTTTATTTCCTATGTGTGAATAGGCCTTGGTTATACCTAGCCATTAACCCAGGATGGCTGCTTCTGGGCCTTGACTCCATTTCCTTATTGACAATACTGTTTGAGAAACTGAGGAAGCCAAAGGAAGGCAGACACCTTGAAACATGGCATCATTCACCCTAGGATCAAGGCCTCCTCAGAAAAAGAACCCCATCATAGCTTTGAACTTCCCATGAGGCAAAAACCATCTGACCTCCAGGTCACCTAGACCCAATCTAATCCATGTGTCTGTTGGCTCAGTACTCCTGAAGAAAAAAAAAGCATCAAAAATAAGACTGAGATACAGAAAACCTTACAAAATAATTACTCAGAACCCTGACATCCACCAGCAAGTGGCCCCAGTGAGGAATACAACACCAAGGAGGGAGGAGGTGTTGGAATATAAAATTTATTATGTCAGTTTACGGTCAAGGACTTTCACAAGCTGACTGAGTCCTCAGCCCTCCTTTTGTGGCAGGAAATCATCTTGGAAGACTTTATTGATGTCATGATGTTATCCAGGCAGACCACACCCAAAAGCATAGGATTCTCTCTCCTCCTCCTCAGGGTTGCAGTGCTGAATCAGACCAACTCCATGACATGCAGAAGCACTGCTGAAGACAGTCCCCACAGATGTGACAACAGTCCCTCTTTCCATGTAGGAGTTATTTGATCTTCCATTAGGAGGACCAATGGGGATTCTCAGTTTCACATCTGGACTGAAGGGATCAGACCTGAAAAGGTTCTGTAGAAGGTGTCAGAGTCACCTTTGACCTTTGTGGACACTCAATGATCCTTATGGAGTTGTGGGTCTTGAATAATCACACAGGCAAATGTTGATTGAAACAATCTCATAGTGGCCAACACATTGCAGGATCATCCTGCTGCAGAACATTTTCACAGATCAGGTAGCCAAGTCTGTATATATATATATATATATATATATATATATATATATATATATATATATATATATATATGCCAGCAGAGAGCTGTAATTCATCAGAAAACATCCCTTAGTGTCTCAAAGAGTGCTCTATGAATAAGCCAATGATTTATCAGTGATAGGGCCTAGCAGTCATTTGGTTGTGAAAGCTCAGATAATGTTCTGATGTTCAAGAGCTGTGTCAGGTGTTTATGGATCATGTGAACATCAGCTGAATGGCATGTTCCAGAGAACGAATGGCAGCCTCTATCTAGTTCAGGGAGGTGGACTTCCAGTCCCTGCTTTAGGATGAGATCTTTTGAGTATAAAGGAAAGGTGTATGGGAATCACCTGTGCACCATGTGACAGTAGACCAACTAGACAGTACAGCATCATGACCTGCAGGGAGCACGGCCTGAGTGTGCTGCCAGTGTTGTGCCTGCAGCTGATGAGATCCAGGCATGGCCCCAGATGACCTACATATATCACAACCTTATCTATCATAAGCCTGAGTTTTGGGACAATTCTCACTTTCTGAATATTGGATGAAGACAGATCCTCAGGACCTACAATTTATTCACCATACAGCCCTGATTCCCAACAGAGAGAATCATAATGGATTACTGGGTTTATCTTAAGCCTAAAGGTGACAGGAAATGATATAATTTGGAGCTGAGTAGGTGTGCAAGCAAGCATGTTTCATAAAGGGAGGACCTGATGCTGTATTTGAAGGTGTATGTTTCTAATACATGGAACAGGAGTTAGTGTAAACCAAAATGTAGAGACGGGAACAGACAAAGCATTAAATGCATGAGGATCAGCATGCAGTTCAGAGCTGAGGAAGTAACATGATATCCAGACATGCATGACTATGTGCAGGTGCCTAAGAAAAATAAAATAAAAAAAGCTGTGGGGTTCAGGAACAAAGCACCAAGGAGACTCAGAAACTGCATGGTGCAAAAGTATTGGTGTACATTAGAAAGATGAACTTTCAGAAGATTTATCTCTTTGGGATGGAAAGATTGCAGCTGAGGAAAAGCCTTGGCCCAGGTAGACCTTATGGTGAGTTTGCACATGGAGGTGTTTGGGATTCCACTCTTGCTAGGATGAACAGGAGAGGGCTTTGAAGAAGTCCTGAAGCATATCCAGAGCTACTGGGCATCCAGGAGGAGTCCGGGTGTATCAATCAGTGTTCATCCTGATGGACCATCAAGAATACTTTAGTGAAGATGACTCAAGTGAATTCAACAGTGTTTGAGCCAAAACCTGTAATGTTTTTATCCTTGAACTTAGTATAAACTGACTTATAAAGCACCAAATAGGCATGGCTATGCTCTT